CCTGGAACCTAAATCACAGGGGTCTGTGGCCATGTTCAGCCATAAGACATTGTTCACTTGGGTTGCGAAACTCCTGGCAACTATTAGGCAGGGGAGGCCCAGTCCCTGTTGGGACAGAGACGTAGTAGTCATGTGTCACCCGTAGGGCTTTCACAAGGTAGGTGCGTTTCATGTCCACGGAGAGATTAGGATGGAGATACATACATAGGTCTGTATCTATAGATATAACGTCAAGAGTGACAATAGTCAGTAGTGAACTTTCCTGGGACGCATCATCTGGGTCACTAGGTCATCAACGACATCTCAAGGTGGGCTGGTTAACGTCCAGGAAAATGTCCCCAAGGGAAGTTGCATTTAAACTACCAGACGAAAGAAAATAGTATGTTTCCCACCGGTTTCCTTGAGAACCTCCTCTGCCGGTCTCAGCTGGAGCCCAGTCTGAATGCCCAGCTGGGAGCCTTAGAAGCAGAGATGACGACGGGCCCCAGTACCGCCAACCACCTCGGGCCTTAGGGTAGGAGAGAGGCCGCAGGAGCTCCTCAGTGCCAAGCAGAAAGGGAGGACGACGGTCTCCGGGAAATGTCCGAGCCTAAGCGACCTGGAGCACGGCCCGGGGAACTCCAATCTCAGCGCTGGGCTGAGTCCCGGGACTGGACGGGAGGAGATCCGATGGCCCCCAGTGAGGCCGGCGAGGAGCCCGGTAGCCATCGCCCCGGAGGTACCGGACCAAGATGCGCGAGTAGCAAATATGACACTGGGATCAAAGCAGCTGGGGCATGACTCTGGGAAGGCGGTCCAGAGGGGAAGCAAAAGTTCCACCGTCCTTTCTCCATTCCTTCCTCCATTCCACCCTTGAATGTCAGAGCCGAGGGCGCCGGGACAGCCCAAGAGCAGCCCCTGTTTCGAGACCCGAAGCTCTTACCCATATCCTGCTCCCTCGCTGTCTGCCCTTTCACCCGTGCTTAAAACGACCTAAGCGGACTCTAAAACCGGCAGACCCTGGGCCCTGGGGGCTTCCCCTGCATGCAGGGTGCTGGCTGCGTGGTGAAATGTGCCTCCTTTCAAACTAGACAACTGCCTCCGCACAATGTGGCTTCCCGAGTCTGCGAGGAACATAGCTCCGGCTTCGACCACCAGGACCCGAGGTGGCCGGGCCTGCAGGTGGGGCAAGAACTCCGGGTTCCAGCAGGAGCGAGGGGCCGGCGCTCGCTCTCCCCTGTATACCCACAACCTCCACACACTTATGTCGACATCCCTCAGGCCCTATCCTGAGTCCCTAAACCCCGACAGACAACTCAGATTCAACCCCCCGGAGGCGAGAAGGTGGGACGAGTAGTATTTGCGGAGTCAAATACTAACTTTCTCCGCACCCCGTTGGAAGGAGGAAGTCAGTGCCCAGGTGGACAGCAGCTGTCAGGCGCGCTCTCCAGAAGTGGAGGATGGGAAGGTGGCGGTTCAGGTCAAAGGTGAGGAGGCTTCACACCAGACAGTGTGGATCCTCGCACAAAACCTCTCCCGCCAGTCCTCACGCCAACCAGCGAAGGTCTGCTCCCTTAGCTCGGGAAAAGGGCTCTGCCAAAGGAAAAGGGAAGTGAGGCCTGCCAAAGGAGGAGGAGAAAATTAATTAATGAGGGAAAGAAATGTGTCTCTGATCCAGATGATAGACTCCCTGTCCCTGGGGGCGGAAATTCCTTGGAAATCAATAGCTGTGCATTCATTATCCTTCTCTTGATAAAATGCAAAGCTATGAGATGATGAGGAGGAGGGGATCTGTGTTGGTCATTAAATAAGAAGGAAAAAAAATTGCCCAGAAATCTATGCCAAGACTCAGACCCCATGTGGGTATCATTAGCACAGGCAGGGGCCAACGAGTTACAGCAGTTGCCAAACCAGGAAAACAAAACAGTGACATATGGGTGAGCTGAGCCCAAGCCCGCCACCCTTTCCTTTTATGCACCAGGAGGAAAGTAGGGAGAGGCTTGATATGGTCCAGGGAACTGCCTGCAGATGTGCCAGCATGCCCCATTCTTTAGCCTGGGGCTGAGAACCAACAAGGATGAGGCGTGATAACTGTCCAAGGATCATCCGCCCCATATTTCTATACACGTCCCTCTCATCACACCTGTTATAACTGTGTCATAGATGCCTTTTATTCGTGGCTGCCCCACGCACATACACTGTCACGTCCTGTAGGGCACGTACTCATATTGTATACCTTATTTTATCTCCAGTGTCTTGTACTGGGCCAGACTACTGCTCAGCAAGCATTTGAGGAAGGAAGATAAGGTAGCAAGTTAATGAGGGAGGAGTGAAATAATTGGCTCCTGAAAAAGAACAGGCTGGAATCAAAATTTACAGTTCTGCCTGGGGAAAACACACCCCTCCTTTTTAAGGAGAATATAGACCACCCTCCCCCAAGCATCTTCCTGCAATCTCCAACCAGCCCTGGATTGTTGAACAGCCCCTAGGCCACCATCTCTTCCCCAGACTACCTGAAACTGGCCTCTCTTCCTTCTTACACGCATGCGTTGTTTGGTGGTGTACTTTTCCTGTGACAAACCCCGCACTAAGTGCCATAGTGAAGTTGGATGTGTCCTAGATGGGCTTCCTATCCATGGTGGGAGTGGGAGGGAGGATTGTACCCATCGCCCTCGTATTTCTGGTCCCATCAAAACACCCAATATCCCGAGCAAAGATCTGTCCTCACCCCAAGGTGGGGTATTCCTGTTGTCAAAAGAGAGGTAAACAGGGAAGGAAATCTTGGTGAGACTAACTCCTAACTTCAGGCTAAACTGACATCTCTCCGCTGGGTTTATTGGAAGTCTCCCAGGGTTGGAGGGTTTATTGGAAGCCTCCCAGGGTTGCAGGGTGAACCGGGGTGCCTTTTGGGTACTCAGGAGCTCACTGCGCTCTCAGAGGCCCCACCTGGCCACAAACCTGTACTGTTTGTCTTTCTGTCGCCCCTGTACCCTTCAGGGTCCCTAAAGACCAGCGCTTCCTTGAGAGGGGAGGAGCAGGCTCCAGGCCCTCACCCTGTGTGGGGACCTTTTCTTTCCCCTCAAAAGAGAGTGCAGGGAACTGCCACCAGGGGTGTCAGGAAGGATTAGGTTAAGCCCGGACTGCCGGTGTGATGACTGCCTTAGGACTCACTCTTTCCCTCTAGCGACGTCCTGCTCATCGTCCACTCCCCGTTGAGATAAAGTTGCATTTAGCGCTCCCAGGGGACTGCATAATGGATGAAGCCAGCTCCTTCTCTCACCAGCAAGTGAACATCCTTCTCACTTCCCTCTGGAGCTGGAAGGAAGGGAGGGGGTGGGGGGGGGGGGAACATGAAAAGAAAGAAAAAAAGCCATGGTGACGCCTGTGGGCTCTTCTTGGAATCTGAGTAGGTGAGTGGGTACGCTAAATACACATGCGTTTGTGCAGAGGAAAGATAAAATCCACGGGAACGCAAATTTAGGGTTATAGAAATGAGATCTCTCTTTGGTGGAAATACAGACCTCCTTGGTGTGAGAGAGACCAAAAAGATTATGTATCTGATCTCGGCTTTCCATAAGCAGCCCCTTGCTGCTCTCCAGCTCTCTTGCTGCAGATGTGATAACATCTGGGCTGTTAGGTTATTATCACCGCGAGCAAGTGCTCGGTCTCTGGGGACTTTCGCACCTGAACTGTGGCTCCCCTGGGAGGCTTTTGATCTGCTGCCACATAAGGGCCATATAACGGGTTGGCTAATTGATTTATTCTTTTTAGGTCTTAATTTCACAATAATGTTTTAACAATTTAAAAACTGGACCAGAGCTTGTACCCGTTCTTTCAAATTGGCTTGATTTAATATTTTTGAATCAAGTTTTCCTATAAGTTAGCTTGATCTGTCTCCTATTGAAAAAATATATATATATTGTGTGTGTGTGTGTGTGTGTGTGTGTGTGTGTGTGTGTGTATACAAGCAGAGATAAGAGGCGAAAAGCCAAAACGATGGCAGGGAAAAGAAAGTTCTTTTCAACATCTTATTCCCTTTTCTCTGAAGCAGTTTTCCCGGAGTTCCCAGCATAAAGTGTGTGTGTGTGTGTGTGTGTGTGTACGCTGAGGGGAGGAAGGATCCCAACTACACCCTGTTAACTATTTTTTCCTTTTGATTACTAGAAGCCTTAGATCACCCGGAGCTCGTTTGAAACGTGGGTTTGTACACGGTTGAAGGAGACAAACAGTAAGAGAAATGCACAATTTCATTTCAACAGCTTTTCCCGAGTAGAAAGCACACGCTCCTTGTGGCTCCTAAGTGGCTGTCACTGGCGGTGCCTGACACAGTTATATTCACAACAACAACAACAAAAAGTATGCGGAGGAAATTAAATTATATGGAAATCAATAGCGTCTGACTGCTTCAAACAAATGTCTGTCACCGCGATTATTCTCCAGGAACCTATTTATAAACGTTGAAAGAAACAGGTTCTTGCAGCAAAAGACAGCACCTTCTGCATTTCTGTGTTGTTATTTATACTGTATACAGAGGAATGCGCGGGCATAATTTAACATACAAATACCCAGCTGTATACATTATATAACAGCTTGTTAGGCATCCCAGAGAGGAGAAGTGCCTAAGTAATGCGCATATATTCAGGGCTTGCGATCAGGGGGAAGAAACAAACAAACAAAAAAACACACAGAGTGGCGTGCGCTCATCTCGTCTTTTTTCTTCTAAAAGGTGTCCACCCTTAGACAATAGCTCGACCTTCTGATCTTTCCAGACCGCGGTGGGAAAGGTGAGGCGGGCAGTGCGCATGCCCGGGTAGCTACAGGTGCATCACCTGCGCTGTCCTTGCTGGTGGTCACTATAAGAGCGGCTTCCACTCGCCGGTAGCAGCCGGACGAGCGCGCGCGCGCGCAGACGCACGGCGCCGCCGAGAAGGAGAGCGCGCGCCAGACAGACGGAGACAGCTGATGCCTGTCAGCGCGGTGGGGCCGCGAGCTCTCGCGAGAGCTCCCCAGGACGGCCGCGAGAAGTGGGGCTCAGGTGTAAGAGGAGTGCATCCCGTCGGCGCGCGGGGCTAGAGCTCTCGGAGAAGCAGGACCGCGAGGCCGGCGCGCGGCGCTCTGCGCGATCAGAGGGAGCCCCCGGCAGCAGCAGGAGCAGTAGCAGCAGCCCGCGGCGCGGCCGCCACCCGCCGCCGCGACCGCCGGGGCTGCAGTCTCGGAAGGGAGGCCGGGTGAGCCCGCGTACGCACTTTCCCGCGGACTTTCGGAGTGTTTGTGGATATATATACATGCCAAGCCGCCAAGATGATGTCCATGAACAGCAAGCAGCCTCACTTTGCCATGCATCCCACCCTCCCTGAGCACAAGTACCCGTCGCTGCACTCCAGCTCCGAGGCCATCCGGCGGGCCTGCCTGCCCACGCCGCCGGTAAGCGCCCCACGCCCGCGGCCCCGGCCCGCGCGCCCGCCCCTCCCGGTCTCCGAGACGCTGCATGTCGGGGGCTGGTGTGTGCAGGTCCCGGTGCGGGGAACTGCGGGCAGGGGGTGTAGAGCAATCCCGCTGCGAGGCACGTTTTGTCCGGCGGCGCTTAATGTCTTGTTCCTGTGTGCCTCTGCCTCCGCGTCGGGCGCCTGCGATCGGAGTGGGGAGCGCTAGGGCCAGGACTCTCGACTTCCCTGCACTTTCTCTGTTAATTTCATGCCTCAGAAAGGCGGTCTCTGTGCGTGCTCGGGTGTGTGACACGGGTCCCCAGCTACGAGTTACATTTCCATTTCTTCTTCTTCTTTTCCCCCTTCTTTTTCGTCTCCCACGCCCGTTCCCGGAATGTGTTCTTGTGTCCTCCTTTCTCCCTACTTCTGTCGTCCTCTCCACGGCTCCTATCCCTTCTCGTCTGTCCCCCTGCCTGGTCGCCAATGTGCCCCCTTCTCCATCTTTCCCGCTCTCCGCCGCCCCCAACCCCGTTGTTACTTTGGTTGCTTTGTGTTTGCCCTTCGCATGCTGTGCTTTCCGGCTTGTGTGTGTGTTTCTTCTGTTGTTTTGTTTTGCTCTTTTGGTTTTGTGGTTTTTTTTTTGGTTTGGTTTGGTTTGGTTTGTGTCGCCTGCAGCTGCAGAGCAACCTCTTCGCCAGCCTGGACGAGACGCTGCTGGCGCGGGCCGAGGCGCTGGCGGCCGTGGACATCGCCGTGTCCCAGGGCAAGAGCCATCCTTTCAAGCCGGACGCCACGTACCACACGATGAACAGCGTGCCGTGCACGTCCACTTCCACCGTGCCGCTGGCGCACCACCACCACCACCACCACCACCACCAGGCGCTGGAGCCCGGCGATCTGCTGGACCACATCTCCTCGCCGTCTCTCGCGCTCATGGCCGGCGCGGGCGGCGCGGGCGCGGCGGGCGGCGGTGGCGGCGCCCACGACGGCCCGGGGGCGCGGGCGGCGTGGCGCGGCGGGCGGCGGTGGCGGCGCCCACGACGTGCCCGGGGCGGGGATGGCCCCCGGGTGGCGGGCGGTGTCTGGTGGCGGCGGGCGGCCCCGGGGCGGCGGCGGGGCGGGCGGGCGTCTGGGGCGCGGCGGCGGCCCGGCGAAGCGTGGTTCTGGCGGCTCCGCAGACCGCACCCGCGTATATGCACAGCCTGGCTAATTGTCGACCAGGCGCGGCCACGGCGAATATGCCGTTGCCAAACTGGCTGGGCGCCGACTTCCCGGGCTGCCGCACCCCGGGCTGGTGGCGGCGGCGGCGCACCACGGCGCGGCAGCGGCGGCGGCGGCGGCGGCGGCCGGGCAGGTGGCGGCGGCGTCGGCGGCTGCGGCCGTGGTGGGCGCGGCGGGCCTGGCGTCCATCTGCGACTCGGACACGGACCCGCGCGAGCTCGAGGCGTTCGCCGAGCGCTTCAAGCAGCGGCGCATCAAGCTGGGCGTGACGCAGGCCGACGTGGGCTCGGCGTTGGCCAACCTCAAGATCCCGGGCGTGGGCTCACTCAGCCAGAGCACCATCTGCAGGTTCGAGTCGCTCACGCTCTCGCACAACAACATGATCGCGCTCAAGCCCATCCTGCAGGCGTGGCTCGAGGAGGCCGAGGGCGCCCAGCGCGAGAAAATGAACAAGCCCGAGCTCTTCAACGGCGGAGAGAAGAAGCGCAAGCGGACTTCCATCGCCGCGCCCGAGAAGCGCTCCCTCGAGGCCTACTTCGCCGTGCAGCCCCGGCCCTCGTCCGAGAAGATCGCCGCCATCGCCGAGAAACTGGACCTCAAAAAGAATGTGGTGCGGGTGTGGTTTTGCAACCAGAGACAGAAGCAGAAGCGGATGAAATTCTCTGCCACTTACTGAGGGGGTTGGGAGGTGTCGGGCGGGACAGAGTGGGGAGCTGAGGAGGCATTTTTGGGGGGCTTTCCTCTGCTTGCCTCCCCTCGGATTTGGAGTGTCCGTTATCCTGCCTGCGTTTGGGGAGTCCCTCCTCGCTCTCTTTCCTCCACCCTCTCTCTGATTTTCCTGCCTTTGCTGTCCCCCAGCCTTGAGGACTGGGGTGCTGGCTGTGGGGATTGGAGTATAGGGTAGGGGAGAAACGGGAGAGCATTAGGATGAGTGGGGAGTGGGGGGAAGGAAAGAGGAGGCCCGAGCAGGGGTTTTAAGGAGCAGGATGGTTCTGGGGTTTGGGTGGGGGGAGACGCGGGAAGGATAGGAAAATGGACTGTTTTTGACCAGAGACACTTACCTAAATCTCCTGGGGACCAAGGAACTATGTACAAAAACAAACCTACCAACCACCAAAAACTAGACAAATAAAGACAAACTAAAACAAAACAGAACAAAAGCAAAGGAAAATACTTTAGAAATTTTAACTCCGGGGAGCCATAATCTGCAGCTTCATTTCCCCCCATGGAAGAGAAAAAAGAGCACCACCATTATTACCACCTCCCCAACCCTACACACACAAACTGAGTCAAAAAACGAAAACCAAATGAGCCGGAAGTTGAAGTTCTGGTATCAAAGCTAGTTGTTCTGTCTGCGTGTTTAATTTTTCCCTCTAAATCTCACCTCCACCCCATCCATATCCTCTTTATTTCCTCTGTTCCAGTGAGAAGCCAATGGCTGCTCTCCAATCCCGGGAAGTGAGTGGGAGCACAGCTGAAAAGAGAGGGTCAGGGGGAGCCTGGCTGCTTGCTTAGGTGGAATCCAAGTTTTCCCCTGGCCCTGCCTACACTCTGGTGGCCTGGTCCTGGTGGGGTGGGGGTCTTTGGAGAGCGGGGCATAGTCTTTGAGCTAACTAAAAAGCAGAATTCCGGGACTTCGAAATATCTTATTCTAGGAAAATGAAACAATTTTAACAACAGTTTTCTTTTTTTTTTTCTCTTATGTCAAAGATACAGTTTTAGACAATTTCAAAATAAGCTTTTTTCCCACTCATAGAACTTTTACCCTTTCAGTTTTATTTTTTATTTTTTAGAGAGGTTTAAACTACTGATTTTTTTTTTTCCTGTTGATTCAAATAGACTGATGGGGTGAAAGTTATTAGGAGAAATACTGTCTCATCTTGCTCTTCTAGGTCCCCTTTCTTCTTCTCTTGGAGAACATGAAATTATAGAAATGTTGAGAAGTTCCTGCTTTCTGTTGGAGTAGGACTTGGCTGTGAGAAAATCACCTAAATCCCAGAAAAGAGGACAGATTTAAAGTGCCCCCACCCCCATTTGTTTCAAAGAGGTCTGCATGTTGGGGGAAAACAGAACAACTGTGTTTCCTTTTACTTGTTCTTATTATTCAAGAGTCATTTATTACTGGGGATAAATGTTGGGTAGCAAGAACTTTAATTTGCACTACCAGTCTCCCAAATAGAAAATCATGTATAGTATTTCATAGTAATAATCAGGTACCTTACAAGCTGCTGGTGGATTTTAAAAAATAAGATTGTTGAAGGTGGTTAGGTAAAATGCCTGCTTTGTGTACAAGATACTCTTTGGATCTCTTGTGGAGATGGTTTGTTACCATCCTTTAATCATAACTAAAACATTGAAAACAGAACAAATGAGAAAAGAAAAAACCTGCCGATTAACAAGACTGAAATCATGCATGATCTGAAAGGTGTGGAAAGAAACACAATTAGGTCTCACTCTGGTTAGGCATTATTTATTTAATTATGTTGTATATCATTGTTTGCAGGGCAAACATTCTATGCATTTGAAACTGAGCACTAAACTGGGCTAGCTTTCTGGTAGACCGTTTCGTGGATAGTGTGATTTCACAATCTACTGCCTGTTTCCACTGAAAACACATTTTTGTCATATTCTTGTATTCAAAGGAAAAGAAAAAAAGGAAGATTATTGTAAATATTTTATTTAATGCACACACTCACACAGTGGTTACAAACTGCCAGTGTTCATCCTGAAATGTCTCACGGATTGATCTACCTGTCCATGTACGTCTGCTGAGCTTTCTCCTTGGTTATGTCTTTTCTCTTTTACCTTTCCCCTCCCCTACTTCTATCAGAACCAATTCTGTGCGCCAAAATACAACAGGGGGATGTGTCCCAGTACACTTACAAATAAAACATAACTGAAAGAAGAGCAGTTTTATGATTTGGGTGCATTTTTGTGTTTATACTGGGCCAGGTCCTGGTAGAACCTTTCAACAAATGAGACAATATAGCCAAAAAAAACCCCAACCAACCAACCAACCAACCAAACAAAAAAACACAAAGAAATGGGGGGAGGGGAGGGTGTTGAAGGGGGATGAAAAGAGGGGAAAGATTGAGAATGATGTATTTTTTTGCTGAATCAGAATTCGCTTTCAGATAACTCATGAAAAGTGGTGCTCTAAATAAAATGAATTCTATATTAGTTGCCTGTGTTTGTAGAAGTTATTATTTTTTAACTGCAGAAACTCTTAAACCACAGCACTTGATCCAGAGTGGTGAAAACCAATAAATAACCAGGCACCCAAAAAACATTTAAATTTAGGGTCAGGGACAGAGGCATTTGGAGGTTTAGATATGATATGCTAGCCTAAAAACACCTAGTAACTAAATGACTTTTCTTTGGAGGTTAATACATTTTAAAACATTTAGTGTGCCACCTACTGCTCCAGAGTGACCAGAGAATCTCTATTTCTTGGTAACTTGGGACTAGATCAGATGCCAGATGTACAAAGTTTCTTAAGAGCTGGGATTATATCATCTGAAGTCATTTTAGCCAAATCTTTTTAATATCACCGGCAAATCTGTGAAGCAAAACACTTGATGTTCAAAAAGAATAGTACATTTTAAAAGCTGTGATTTTAAACAGTTGTTTAAAAAAAAAAGCACTAGAGGTATTTTTAAAAATAGAACTCTTCCATAAAAAGTTGAGTTGTTTTTGTTGTTATTGACTTGAAATATCATCAGTTTTAAATAAAATGCATTTGTAAAAAAAAAAAAGTTTTTCTATAGAAAAGTATGACTGGATTTCATTGTTGGAAAACCAGGACTGAACAAATGAAAAGATTTACAAAGGGTGTTTTTTTTGTTGTTGTTGTTGTTTTGTTTGTTTGTTTGTTTAAGTCTGCCTCAAGCAGAAATGTTGCAGGCAAATACATGTGTATTACATAATAATGACCAATGTAGGTATTAAGAATTTAAGGATTTGCTTTAAATAAACCCTTACCAAGTAAAAATAAGAGTATTATGTTAATAAAACATCATGAAAATGAATTTCCTATTTTATGTAGTAGGAAACTGCAAAACAAACAAAAAAAAATGCTTTGCTTTCTGGTGAGTGAATCTATATATGGCTTGAAGGAGTAATAAGACTATTTTCTAAGACGCCTTTAACTGTCAATCCATAAAAAAAACAAAAAGTGACCTCCTGAAGAGGCCAAACTATCATTGAAGTGGGTGTCAATCAGTGATAGTTTGGCCTTTCAAAGTTTTCTAATTCTGAAGAGAAGTTCACCCTAAGCGGATTCCTCCACCAATTTTGGGGTGAATATGATTAAATGTATGTCTTGGATTCTTTTAAAGAATAATCTCAAAATAAGTTTGAGAGAGTGGGAAAATTGGGCTCCGTTTGCATTTCAGCTTCTGAGGAAATCCAGGCGGCGGCGGCGGTGGAATAGGAAAAGCAAAAGACAAATAAGCATTAAATCATCTGCCACATTTATGCCATCCATTTGTCTTAAATTTCCTCTTTTCCCCATTTCTAGCTCCAGGTCCTGTTCCTTCTGTAGGTCTAAAAAAAATGATGTCCTCAAGACCCATCAACTAACTTCTGAATAATTTTTGTTTAATGCGTGTTCTGAAATTGCTCTCAACTTCGATTACACTTTCATAAATAAACTGTAGGCACCCACTGCCATGATTGTATCGATTTTTGTTTTCTTGTGATAATGAGACTACTTCGGTTGGGTTCCTACACGTGGCAGGGCACGTGACAGAATAGGGCGCCCCAAGCCCTTAGGACTCACTGAGCGAGCCCTGCCCTCTGCCCCTGCCCCGCCGCCCCTGCCTCTCCTGATCGCACCTGGCACCTGCGTGAAGCATCCCTACTCATCTTTCACGTTGGTAGGCTTTCGCAGCTTTTCGTCCGTGAAGTTGGAACTGGGGCATCTGATCCTGGCTAAAACTAGCGTTTCCCACCCCATTCGAACGGCCTTGGTGGGATGATAAAGGTGATGACAATTAATACTGGTACAGTTTTGCCATCAGTGTTATTGCCATCTCAGTCTTAGCGCCACGATGACAGCCACGCGGTCCTTTCGAGCTGTTTCAAAAAAGACCGCAAGCTTAATTGATTTTTTAAAATAGCAGCCGAATTCTAATTCTCACGAGGTCCCCTTTTCCACTTGCGAGATAAGCCGTGTCGCGAACATTACGTTATTTAATGTTTGATCAAACCATCGTGCCTCCGCGGCTTCTGGCACGGGGCTAGCTCACAGGGCACCGGGTGAGCAGAGCGGCCAGAGCCAGCCCGGCGCGTGTGGGGAAGGCGGGCGGCCGCCCCACTCGGGTTGGCTTACCCTTTGAATAATTTATGGCCAGAGAGTTCTGGAAATTAATAAAATGAATGATAAGAAGCTAATTAAAAACTTTCGTAATTGTTGTCAAGTCAGCTTTATGGGAGGACGGGCAGCCCCCCGATTCCCTCCCCGAAACCCGGTGGATCTGCAGGGCGGGTCGCGGATCGGAGGCTGCAAACTTCAGCGGCCCAGCGCTGTTCCGACTCCGAGAGTTATTTTGGAGGCTGCCTCGTGGGGCAGCTCCCTCTCCAGCTGCACTCCGCAGCTTGCAGGTCTCCCGGGCATAACTTTCAGACTTTGGGGCGGGTGGGTCGGCGTGTGCAGTTTCAAACCACAGGCAGAGCTGATTGGGTTGAATTTGAAGCCAGGAGGGGACCCGCCCTCCCCTCACTCACGCAGGGTTCTTGTTCACCCACCCACCCAACCCTGGCGTCCCAGCGCCTTCAAGGGCACCAGCCGCGGTTCTCCGGGCGGCTGCGAAGGGACCACGGCGCTTCCTGCCTGCACCCCTCAGACGTCTGCCTGGAGAAACAGCAGCCCACAGGCTTCCCGCTGCCCGAGGTGGCAGCTCAGCTCGGACTGCAGCACAGCCACCGGCCTGCTGGCCCTGGGGTGGATTCGGCTGGGCCCGGGAGAACCCGAGAAGGTTAACTGCCCTAGGCCGGGGCATCCAGCGCGCGTGCGCAGAGCGGCCAGCGGGTGCGCACCGTAGGGAGCCGGGAAGGAAGAAGCGCGCGGAGAGCGCGCAGAGCCCGCACATGCGTGTTGGCGCGCGCCTGGTCTCGGAGACGTGGACAGAAGTTCCGCGGCTCAAAATTAGGCGCTCCCGGAGGTCCGCTCCAACTCTTACGTGCTCTTGAGGACGTTCTGAGAGAGAAAGGATGGACCAGTATCTCAAAGCGGTTAAAAAAATCCTCTCCCCAGGTGCGTAAGTCAACAGTCTCCTCAAGCACCACAAAACTTTCACAACTGCCGTACACGTTTTGAAAAGAATTGGGAGGCATACGAGCTTGGCTTTTGTTTTGTTGCTAAGGTGCATGTTACCAAAACCCTGCTACAGATTTGAATTTATCCGGCAAGGATTTATACCCGGGGGGAAATGCAGCCTGGCCGTTATAGGCTTTCGTCCCGGGGAATTCAGTGGGATCCTGAATCGCAAAGCTGAATTTGAAAATCTCAGTTCGGTGAGAAACCGATATAGCCCTAGTGTTGAGACCAGCATCCCGCTCCCGCGAACCAACGGCTGGGGAGGAGAAGCGCCCACGTCCTAGTCCCCTTCCCAAGCCTCATCAGCGAAAGATAGCTGCTTTCAGATTGGGGGGGGGGGGGGGACAAAAACAAACAAACAAACAAAAAACAGCGTGGAACGAAAGTTGTCAAAAGGTGTGGTGGAGGAAGAGAGACTCCTCACATTGATTAGGTAAAAGGAATTACAAACCAAAGTTTGTTTTATACCTCTGACGCCTGGCCTCAATGCAGTATAATATGTACAAACTTTTGTAGACATAGATTAGAATAAAACAAAGTGTTGCCAATTTCCAGCCGTGGAAATTCACTTAAACCAGTTCTCCCTCTCCCCGCCCCCACCAAGTGTTGACAATAAACATTTAATGAAGGCAGAGACCTGGTTGTCTCCAGACAGTGTCAGAATACTTTAAGCAGACCATTAGCACGGCCTCTTTCACTTCAAACATCGTGGTACACTCTAACCATATATGTGTATGTGTGTGTGTGTGTGTGTATATATATATATATTTATCTACGTGTGAGACAAATAATACAATCGTACAGATATCTTAAGTGGTCTGCAGTAGTTCTGATACCCCCTGTCCTTACTAACCGAAAACTAACTCATTGTAGATTACTCGCGCTTAAAAAATGTTAAATACAGTTAATGCAATATTAATCGCCCTTTGGTGATATAAAATGCAATATTTTCAGGCAGCTATTGAGCTTTTCTAGAGGAAGAGCTGATGAAAAGAGTCACAGCTGAATAGTGGAGAGAAAAAGCCCGGTATTTATTGCTTTTGTTTGGCTTTTGGCTACAGAGACAGGAACCTTCTAATGGGGTAAGGACATTTATTTTATCTGCAATCTATTGCTGCGAGAGCAGGGGCGGCAGATGGGGCTGGTACGATATTCACAGTGTAATTTAGAGCAAATCCTAATAACTAATAATGATTTATGTTAATTTTGATCACTTAAGTGACTTCACCATAGCGTTGTTGTGATGAAAGAAAGAGAAAGAAAAAGAAGCTGAATGTGACAAGGAGCTCCGAGGCTGACATTGGGGCTCAACTGTCTTGCACTTTGCACAATCGTAAAATGTGTTGTATGAGTTAGCATTGGAAATGCAGGCATTTAAGAAAGCAGGTAGGATCCATTTGACTCTGGGCAGAGGTATTTCCCGAGGGCTTGCGTTTCTTCTGAAAATTTATCTTAATGTGACGCCTTTGACGCCCTTGAACGGCAGACGCTTTCATCCCAGTTTTAAATAAAACAGATATGTTTCAATTGTTTCATTTGCTTATATGAAACTAAAGGATCGTGTGTGTGTGTGTGTGTGCGCGCGCGC